CCTTCACTTATCTCTTACATAAACCTCCTTATTTTAAAAACCCGGACATGGACAGTGTTGTAAAACAGGCAGTCGTGTTATATTAGTTATTATATATACTTGCTTTCTGAGGACTGGCAGTCTTAAGGCACAGTCGCGTGCTGCATAGCAGCAGCATTTTGGTCAAGAAGTAGCTCCGTAGATGAGTGGTTCCCTAAGATTGTGATGGGGCTGAAACATTGATTGCCTAATGACGCAGTAGCCATTGGAACCTCAGCACAGTGTGCTACTCTGTTTGTGGAGATCCTGGTGTAAAAAAAAAAAAAAAAAAAAACTGTGTTGACAGTTACGTAAAAGCATAACTCATACAATTACACCATAGTGCATGATACTTTGCAATGATAATAAACCACTATGTCACTAGTTTATGTATTGATGATATACTTTTATTGTTCTTTTACAGTGGGCTCCTTCTACTTATTTACTTACTTTTTTTTTTTTTTTTTTTTTTTTTTTTTTTTTTTTTTTTTTTTTACTGGGGATTGAATGCAGGGCCTTGCACTTGCAAGGCAGGTACTGTGCCACTGAACTACATCCCCAGCCCTCTACTTATTTATTTAAAAAACGAGTTTACTCTGAACAGAATCCCGACGTTACCCGGGCAGCAGCCTCCTCTGTCTCATCCTTAGCTTGTCTTTTGGCTGTTCTGTGAGGCCACACTGAGCCCTGAGCGGTCCGGGAGTGGGTCAGAGTGCAGTGACAGCCACGCATGATGAAGTCACCCACCGTCTCACACCAAGTCCCGTCTTTGCAGGAAAGTCATGAGAAACCTGCAGCGTTTTATAGGCATCCAAGTCATTCACTTCTTTGAGTCAGAGAGAGCAGCCCTAATTTCCTTAGGGGTGGCACGGTTGCAAGTGTTGTACTTGGGGACTCACACATGCTAGGCACATGTTCAACCACCAAGCCACACCCCAGCCTGTTTATACGGCTTTCTGAAGAAAGAACTAATGGTGTGCTTAGTGACACATTTGAAAGCCCAGAAGCCACCAGCCGTGGCTGTTGCTATCTCTGCCAGACAGGCCTGCAGTCACAAATAACATATATATATATATTTTTTTTTTTGCAGAGGGTAATAAAAAACATGAGTACTTGGAAGGCTGAGGTAGGAGGATCGTTGTGAGCTTGAGACCAGCCTGTTCTACATAGTGAGTTCCAGGTCAGCCTCAACTACATAGTGAGACCCTGTTGCAAAATATCCCCTCCTCCCAAAAAATCTTAGTACATTGAATTGAATTTTAAAAATTCATTGGACAACTGATAATTATACGTGTGAACTGTATGAGTGCCTGCACTCATTGTGCAATGATTCAGTGGGGCAATCACTGTATCCATACCTCAGATGGTTATCTTTTCTTGTGGTGAGAACGTTCACATCCTTCTCTGCTAGCTATTCTGAAATACATTATTGCTAACTCTAGTCATTTTAGTGTGTAATGGTGCAACAGAAATTATCCTTCCTAATTTACCTTTGCACCTGTTGAACAACCTCTCCTAAACCCTACCCACTTCTTGGTCTCTGGTAACCATTGTTCCATTGATTACTTCTGTAAGAACAGATTTTTAGACTCCACAAACAAATGAGATCCTGCAGTCCCAATCTCTGTGTTCCAGGCTTATTTCACTTAGCCTAATGTCTTTTGGGTTCATCCATGTTGTCAAAGATGACAATTTCATTTTTATGGCTGAATAATATTCCGTTTTATCCATTTATCCATTAATGGATACCTAGGTTGATCCATATCTTTGCTAATTGTGAATAGTGCTGCAGGGAGCAGGGAACAGAGAAATCTCAACATACTGATTTCTGTTAAACAAGTAATATCTACAGGTCTTTCGGCCATTTAAACTCAGATTATTTGTAGTTTTTGCTATTGAGTTTTTTGAGATCCTCGTGTATTCAATGTATCAAGCCCTTGTCAGATGTGTAGTTTGCAAGTATTTTCTCCTTCTGTAGGTTGTCAGACATCCTCACGCAAGCAGCCTTCTTAACAACCCTGCTGGTGAGGGCTGGTTCTTGTCTGAGGTGGAGAGGCTTAGAGGGTACCTTGGACAGAGGGCTCCAAACTACCCCTGGTCTCCAACAAGCCAGTCTGCATCCAAGCGAGCTGAGTAGTGTACTAATAGGACAGTGAATAAAAACAGAACTAAGATCTCATCTTTTGAAACATAATATAAAGTAGTTATGTGTCTCAGTGCTGCTTCTGTGCCCCACACCGTCTCGGGGACTGTTATCAAAGGCCCACTGAACATTTTGGGTTCAGGCATTCCCCAACTAGAGCAGATTAACTGTGGATCGGAATTAAATTAAAGGAGGGAGGGAGTCCTCCCTGCAGCTTGGGGAAAACAGTCTACTTGCTGTGTGGTTTCCTTGCTCCACGGCCCTCTAAGGCTGGGGAGGTGGTCATGGAGCCCGTGGTCAGTGCAGTGGGACAGGGAGCAGGTGTCCTCTTGGGCAATGATGCTGATGCTCATGGCCAGTGTTGCTATTTCTGCACATCATTCTGTGTCGCCCACCCTTTGTTTATTTTGTGAACCCTTGGTACAGAGGTCTCGGTTCTTAGGGGAGGAGGGTAGCAGAAAATGAAGGGGAATCCTGTGGCCAACTAACCGAAAGGATTACTTTCAGCCACTTTATTTTAATGTAAAGATTCTTACGTTACTGCAGATTTATAACTACGTGTCTGTAGAGTGTGATGTGGTACAGATTGCAATGTGGGATGAATAAATCAAGCTGATTAACCTGTCCGTCCCACAAATGCTCACCACCTACCATTTTAAATTGCAAAAGATGCACCGGAGGACCATAGTCCTTTCTCTGAAACCCTGGGGGCCAATTGGGTTTCAGAATTTAGAAAGGTAATGTAATGCATATACTATATATTTTTACCCCTAACAGGGCCTGAACAGATTCTCATCATCTGCAACGTGAAAATATCTGTAGCAAAATATGATTATTCACTCTAAATGGGACAAGTAAAGATTTTAAATAGCATGCAAGTCAGGCTGAGACGTCAGATGTGTTTTGGAGCCCATCTTTTAAAAAAAGACATGAGATTTTTTTTCCTGAACTTTCTAGATTTTAGAATTGTGTATAAGAAATGGTGCATCTTAGATTTATCACATTAAAAAGTGGTTATTGGACGATCCTTGGAACCTCGTCAGTATTATGAGAAAAAGTGTGTTTCAAATGATCAACAAAACCAACACTTGGCACACAGCCCACCTGTCATGTGGGAACTGACTGTACTAATAAAAATGATTAAATGTTACATTTTGAACCGTGGAAAGGCTGACATAAATGAGTTCATCTGAGACAGTGCACGACCCCAGCACATGACCTCTTAGCTACTCCTTACCAAACCCTCAGACTTGGCCATGTATCTTTTCTCTGTGTTTCTAATTTTCCTGTTAAATCCTCATTTTTTTTTTTCCTCAGAAATAGTTAGTTTGCCCTAGATTTTGTGCAGATGACACTCACTCTGGCTAGTTGGCAGGTCTTAATCAGGGCAAGGAAAAGAGGTGTGGAAGCCACAGTGGCCTCAGTTTTACGGGAGTGAAGCACTTTTTTTAAAATGTGGAAAAAAATTTGTTTCGATTCATAGAGTGATAGAGCCTTAAAATCACGCCACAGAATTAAAATAACACAGATTAAAAACTCAGGGCAGAATCACTGAGAAATTCAGCTTTGAAGAAAACCTTTCTAAGCTAATAATGGTATCCTAAAGAAAGTATTTGCTTTAACTCTAAAAGACTCTTAACTCCGTAGGGAAACTTGAAGTTACATTAAAAACAAAAATACTTAACTTCAGAAGGTGTTGCAATGAAAGACTAGGGTATAAATAATTTGGAAATGCTTTGTCACTAGGAATTCCAGTGGCATAAAGAAATGCTTAATAAACAACTTCCTTTTTGAGTTTAGCAGGAGGTTTGATAACCCTATGAACTGTTTTTCTAAAAACCTATCAAAATAAAAATATTGAAGAGATTTGTACTGGGAATTCATTGTATTGTAGGTCACGTGAGATCATGATAAATCTTTTTCCTATATGTGAGACAGTGCAGAAAACAGAATTGTGACCCCAAAATCTAATATGGCAAGAGCTACAGGGTTTGGCATGTGATGTTAAGACTACAGTACTTTTTAAGGATGAGAAAGAGTTCCCTGTTCATCCCTGTGCCCTGACATTGTAAGCATTTTTGATGTCTTTGAGGGTCCTATTTGCATAAATAAATTACAGAAAATAAAATAAAATGGCTTTTCCCGTATTATTTGATGACTTTTTTCTTGATTCTCAGGTTTCTATTACTTAGATGGCTGCAGATTGTAATGTGCCGTAGAATCCCCTACCCAGACCTCTTTTGACAATTACTTCTTGTATTATTAGTGACATTTACTGAAATCTCTTCAAATATTTTTAAACAGTAAGGGGGCAGAAATTCTGACCACAACCAGGAAAGCTAATCATTATAAAAACATAACCAGAATGGAACAGCAGCGCTAAGCTTCTTAGAATTTAAAGAGAGCAGAGATATCAGATAGTCTTTATTTTTAAATGTTTTATCTGCTACTCCCTGCCCTCCTCCCTCAACAACCAGCCAAGCAGTTGAACATTTTCAATTGAAAAATTGCCCAGTCATTCACTGATGTTGGTGATAAAGGCTGCAGCCTCTTTAACCTCAGAGAAAGGATCATTTATTGGAGCATTTTTAGAGATTCCTTTTTACCTTTTCATTGTCTGTCTTTTCCTGCTCCCATTCTGTCTCCTATCTTTTGGAAACACTGAGATTTACATAGCATGTGCACCCCCCCCCACACACACAGTGTGCAACATTGCAGTGGTTTTCTTTCTTTTTTTTCCCCCTCCACCCCCTCCTTTGCTTAGAACAGAGGTAGAAACCCCAGGGGATTCAAATACCCACTTGATAGGCTCGGTCTCTCTTAATCAGCCTGTAATGGAGCTAATGGCTGTTTGTCATCCTCGGAGATATAAATTTCCCGGCGGTGTCTCCCGCAGACAGTGCCCGAAGTATGCTCTGTGCGCCAGCAAGGGCTGATAACCAGAGAAGAGCAGGGTGCTCCGTGAGCCAGCGGAGCCAGGGCTTCCCAGCTGGGCTGCCAGCTACCGCTCGCCACTCCTGAGACATGGACAATGCCGGTAGGTAAAGCAGCACCGAGCTCTCCCTAGCTGCTGCCTTCCTTTGCAGTCTGCTCTTTTGCTGCAGAGGATTTACCTATTTATTGCTCCCGTTCTTCACTTGTACGTTCCACGTACAGGACCCGGAGGCACGGAGTATGTCAGCCCCAGTGTATTGTCCGCAAGGCAATTAGCGTTTGCTTTGAAGTTTGGGAACTGGAAAGGAAGATTATCACGCTGCGTTCGCCTTTGTGCACTGCACTGTTTTCTTTAGGCTAGGGGAAGTGTATGGTGTCGGTGCCCTTTGTGCTTAGCATGGTGGGTGAAAATTGCATATAGTTAGTGAAAAAACTAGGACGAACAGGGCCAAAAGGTAGAGCTGAACATAAACGTTAAAA